GTGTTCCGCAGCTGCAGAAATTACAGATGTTGGGGCACGTGACATGAAAACACATTCCCTGTTATGTACACAGCAGAAATCTTACCAAGCTCTCTGTGTGGAGACAGGACTAAATGATTACATTGCTGTTACCAATAAGTGCTGTCACTGCAAAAAATGGGGAGTTCCTTCTCCATGAAATCAGTATGAATCAGAAGAAATTCCGTGGAAAACAATATCATTTTTGAGATAAAACACATGATCAGCGTCACCCCCACAAACACAGAGTAAATCCACGTTTACAAAACAAATTACCATTTTCCTGGTGGGGGGTAGTTGTTTCCTAAAAACTAACAGTTTACAGACTCTTTAATTTAGTAAACGCTGGTAAATTCCCAGCATAAACCTTCTTCTCAGGAGGAATTTTTCTTGGGGAAATTCTGGCACTGTTAGTACAGGGCGAATTGATTTTCTCTCCACTTGGAAAACTAGATTGAATTTCTGGCCACTCATAAAACACTCACGTTATTCCCCGTGCACAGAATCTGCGTTACGCAAAGGAAATGCCTTTCCTCTGCTTTTGAAAGTCCAGGAATGAATTCACTTCCTCATTGTCATTGAAAACGGCTGTGAGCTTTGACTGTGTCCAGGATTGTTAACCTCTTCAAATATGAGATATTGAAACCTATTCAATACTTAACACTCTTGCGGTAAAACCCCACTTAGACTGTTTTGCCGGTGTTATGACAAATGAGATTAAATCTGACACCTACACCAATTATTCTAAAACAAGACTTACAGTAAGATTTACCAGACCCCTCATACAACTCAAATCTCTGATGAAAATAAAAGCGGCTGTTCATGAAAGAGATGCTGTATATCTAGCAGAAGTAATGAGGCTGATGACACAGAAGGAACTGATGAAGTTTAATGGCCTGTGTTATTGAGGAGGTCAGACGAGATAATTACAAGTATGAGAAGCCCACCAGAAACAATCATGATATCTGTATTTCTTGCATATTTCTTCTCTTTCCTCCACGTTCAGACGATTGGGGGGCAATTAAAAAATTATACATGGAAAAGAGTAACAAGCTTCATTCTGTATGATTCATGACTAAATATTACCTTCACATGATCACTTTTTATTCACTTAGAAGTCCCTCCACAATTCCATTGCTAAGAGCTGTTGAGGAGTAGAGATATTTCCATCCCAGTAGAAAATGGTGTCAACAGTTCTCCCATATTAGTAAGGAATGATACAGAGTCATTCATTCACGTATTCACCAAGCACATGGAAATTAACCACAATTTAAAATACCTTCAAAGAGTGTGAGGTTGGCTTAGTAAGTGGAAACATGCATTAGAAAATTCATTATTGGAAATATCTAGAAAATTTGAGAAAAGGTTGCACTGAATTCTTCCCATTTGTTTTGTGCAAACTGCATATATTCTGGGAGAAAATGAAAAGTTCAAGTGAGACTAGATTTCACTGGGAAAGGAAAGACAATATGGCATTTTCAAGACCTGTAATTTTGGCAAGTCTGCTGAACTGCAGGCTGATTGGTGACTGACTGCAATTATATGTTGAAACTGCTCAGGGAATAAAGGACAGAGGAGCAAGGGCTTTAATTTGGTGAACATGCATTAGTTAGCTCCATTCCCCAACCCTTCCCATTCACCCCCAGAGGGTATAGCTCTGCGTTAAATGCTTACTTCACATTTAATGTTAGAATAACAGCTTATATAATCTCATCAGAAGGGAATCTACAAGAGAGGTAAACAGCAGTTGTTCCCATCAGACTACATATACACAAGGCATTGTCTTCACCCAACTATTTCCTTGTGAGCCAACTGCTGACTTAGGGATGCTGAACTATTCACTGAAACAAATAACTCAAAAATCCAGACTCTGCTTTATGGCTCCCTGCTGTGGTGTGCACTACACATTTAGGCAACACAGATGTCCCAGCCAAAGTATTCAGGTGAAGACTAAAATGGGTAGGCTTGTACTACCAAGACAGCCGCATGCATTAAGGCATGCTGACTACTACTGCTTTAGAAAGAGAAGACCATCTCTGTGCACAGCCCATCCCTTCAGAGCATTATCTATGCAGTCCTTTGTGCTTACAGCCCTCAACTTAAATCAAAGACCATTACAATATTAATGGTTCACAGTTAAGTCTGCTACGCTTGGACAGTAACTCTCTTGAAGCAGAAACCATGGTTTGTAAATATGCGTAGGATCTGTGTGTCTTGGTGTTAAGATACTGCAAATATAACAAACAAAATTAATAAACAAAAGATTCCGTCCTGAACAGTTTGTGGTCAAAACTAAACAAGTAAGATACAGAAAAGTGTGAGAAAAAAAACACATCCTTACACTTGCTGTACAACTGAGAAGGCAAGGCACTAGAATACCAAGCCACAGCCCAAAATCCCACAGGAAAATTGTGGCAAAGTGCAGGCTGGAAAGTTATCAGGAACAAACCACCCCATTTCTGTACTATTTGCTAGGCATCTTCTCAACCACTGTGAGAAACAGTGCACTGAGCTAGCCAGGCAAGCCTTTGATTTGGCCTCCTACAGCTGTCCTAATTTTCTTCAATTTAGCCACAAGCCCTGCCTCAGCCTGTTTCACAATCCACTGAAAGCACTTTGCTCTCCTAGACAAAAATATTTTTGGTCTTTTGCTCATTTCTTGTTGGGGGCTTAGATGAATTCTGTGTTATACACTGCAGAGGGTCAGTAATGCTGGGCTTTGCTGCTATCTCAAACGTACACACACACACACATATCCCCACACTTATCAGAGGCCCTGAGGGTTGACCCAGTATCGACAGATATAAGAGGAATGTAAGATAGATAAAAATCAATTTGGAAAGATTTTACCTTTACCATGACAAACTTTTCACACTTTTCACAGAATCTCTAATATAACACTGCTGGAAAAGCACTCTGAGATTCCGACTTGCCCACTACCTCCATGCCATGAGGCAGGACCAGCCATACTTTGTCTATTTATAGCTAATATAACCTGTTCTTAAAGACATCCAACATTTCCCTCCACAGGTAATTTACTGAAATGTGTCACCAGCCTTAATGGTACGATATTATTCTTGATCTTTAACCTGCATCTCCACAAAAGTAGCCAGAACAAGATCTGAACTTTCAGCTGCTTTGGATCCCACTGCAATACCAGCCCTCTTACTTCTGACATTTCTATCAGCAGTATTAAGAAGAAGAAAATACAAAAAAATAAAAAAAATAAAAAAAAAAATGAAAAGCAGGGAAAAGCAGAGGAAGAGAAGATGGAAGCTTGGGATAAGCTTGGGATAAGTAGGAAGCTCTACTTCCAGTACAGCCCTTGCCACAAAACATGTTAGAAGTCTCCTTGGGAATCTGGAGTTTCTCTTATTTTATTCAGATGAGTGTATGGAAAATTCATAGAACCAGTTCCACTCTTTCTATCTAAATGGCAGAGAAGAGTTTTGGTAATTTCTTTTTATTTATTTATTTATTTATTTTTTAACCATCACTACTTAGTTCAGTAGTAAGCACCAATTTTCTGTCTGATACAGGTTTAAGGGATTTTCCTCCCTGTTTCTCCTCTATACTGACAAGCCCTTCTCATCACTTCTCCGCCAGGAAAAGAAGTAATGAAAGGGCTCCTGGAAGACAGAAGTGCTGAACTCAAGCGTGACCTCAAGCACTGCTATTGCAATAGAAGGGATTTCCCTTTTATGATCCTTTTCCTCCCTTCTAGATGAATCACACCTCTTACAGAACAATCTGATACCAAAAGACCTGGCTAGTGATTGAGCTATTAAAGCCTGAATGTTGCTATCATAAATATTGTCACAGTCATGATCCTGTGATAGAATGCGACAGAAGTACTGTCTTCACAATGAGCCTTTCCTTATGCAACCTCTAAAACATTCAGTGATGATGTTCTGAACACACCGAGGTCTTGGTATAACCTACGGAGCATAAGCTCCTCCTTCTTGCACAGTAAAGAGAAGTGAAATAATTAAAAAAAAATTAGAGAAACAAAGCTGAATGGGGCCTTGGGAAATTAACTCTTACTTCCCAAGCACCATAAACAATCATCGTTGATTGATGTGCACGCTGTTTACTTAAATCCCCTCCAAAGATGGCTATTCTGCAGCTTCACTAGACAGCCTACTCTAGGGTTATACTAATTTTGCCACTTCTAAGTTGTTGGATGTTTTTCCCCTCCTTATGCCTAGCCAGAATATAGGTTGCTGGAACTCAAACTCCCTATTTCTTATCCTGTCTTGAATGGCAAGGACAACTTACCCATTCCCTATGACAGATATGTCTATGTATACATACACAGAAATATGCGTCATATATATGTGTGTGCATATACGCACACACTTCAAAGAAAAAAAATTTCCCTGTCTTTATATATATATATGTGTGCGTGTTTATATTATGATATAATGTTTATATTTGACAGAAACAGTGGGATAAACTATGGTGTATAATTACAAGCAGTATATCTGAAAAGAGGAATGTATATTCATGTATTTGATAATTATTGATGTTGTTGATGTTTTTAAGCGTATTGCTGTATTGCCTAGGAGATCCGTTTAACAAGACTGAACTTCATTTTGTGCTGTGCAAACTCAGATCAAATGAATTCCTGCCATCCTGCTCAGACCTGTATGATAAACATCAGCCTTAGCCACGTGCAATCAGCGTTTAGTTTATTAAGGAGTAAATAGTAATTATGAATATTCAGATGTGCTTAGAGTAACAAAAATAAGCTGTTGCCATTTCAGTTGTTCCTCAGACTCGCTATTTCCCTCGCAGGCTCTCAGCTAATACCTGCAGAATACATGTTAGTCCCTTTACTCACTCTTATTTTCCTTTCCAGGATCAACAAACAAACAAAAAACAACACAAACAAAAGGAGCTAGAACCACACCTCTATCAATTTGCTGTAGTTTTACATAAAAAGCGGGGTATAAGTCAGCTCCTTTTTCCCTGCTTCCTACCTTAACTCCTCATTCTCACTCCACGGTGGAAATCACCATCACTTCAGATGTTCTCTGTGTAGCTAGCTGAGAGTCACAGAGAAAAATGGTTTGGGTAAAAATATACACACCTGCACTTATATACACATGTATAGCTGTTTTCTAATCAGATCACTTAAATAACCCAGTACCTTGGCACACCCAGGGGGATAAGGAAAAATGTCCAGGAGCAGAGAATGGCAAGTTCTGTTTTAAACTGACTTCACTGCTGAAGGAAGCATACTCGGGGTAAACCACACCCCAGCTGCTGCCCTAGTTATGCAAGTAATCACTCAGGCCCTCTCCCCTCAGGCATCCAGCCTCCCTGGATCTCAGTCAACCCTCAGACCATCAATCCTTAAGTGCGGAGCCTTACCTACCTAACTACTACCTTCCAAGGCAACTGAGAGGCTAGGCCAAAAAAAATAAATATATATATATATCTTTTGTAATAAATCTCTCTAGAGAATGGGGTAAAAAAAAAAAATAAAAATGGAAAGTATTATTATTTTTCCAGCTATGTCATTGCCTTCTTTTCTAACAAAGACAAAGGACAGCAGACTACACAATGGCTTTCAACACCAGGAAAAGTATGCTGTCACAGAGCTACAGCATGTGGCACAAAAGCATGAGCTGAGCCAGCTGGTGCTAACGGAGGTGACACAAGGGAACTCTTCCAAAATCCACCTTTCTATGACAGGAGTCAGGACTTAAGGCCCAATTTCAAGGTGTGGGGCAACCCCAGCTTCTCAAGTCAGTGGGAAGGGTGGACGCTCAGCAACTGGCAGGAGTTCAGCATCAGTAGGGGTAGAGTCTTGTAAGACCACAACAAACTTTATTGTATTGTATTTTATTTCTGCCTGCCTTCAGGTTTCAAGCCTTGTGGGCAAGGCACTGCCAATTTCCACCACAGATCACATCCATACGTTGTACCTACAGGCCCAAAGTATTGTATTTTATTTAGTTTTCCCATTGCACAGACTTCGGGATACTGTTTGCAGGTGTGAATTAATGGGTTGCAATCATTAAACTCAACGATTGCTACAAACTGCCAGGTGTGGACAGAAGCTTACCGACCTGCGCTAACACTACCACCAGCCTTAGTCTGAGGTCCTGACCCACACCTGCACTGACCTTGCCTTGTGCAGGGCTGGATTACAGCCCGTTAACACCTCCTAAAATACCAGTATGGGGATCTAAGTGATTATGTATCAAGCGTATAACCCCTAATTAACCAAAATGAAGTCAGCAGTGGTTACTGACACACACAGCGCCAAAATGGCGGAGCACAGGTAGCCTCAGAGGGGCTTGAGTCTGTGTGTGAGGGCTTGGAGGAACAGCACCACATGGGGCAGCCGGGTAGGGCCACCACCACCAGGCAGGGGGGCGCGGAGCCTTCCCCAGGCACCACAGGGTGAGCCTGAGCCCGCCCGGCCGAGAGGGGGAGACACAACCGGGGGCAGGCTGCGGCCGGGCCGGGCAGGGGGCATGGGGCCGGGGCCGGGCTGCGGAGCGCCGGGGCGTTGCGGCGGCCCCTGGCGGCGGCGGCTGGGTGCGGGCGGCTGGCGGCGCTGCGGTTGTCACATGTCGGAAAGTCCCAAGCGCTGACGGTGGAAATCCCCGCTGGGTTTTTTTTTTTTCTTCTTGGTGTGTGTTGTGTTGTGCTTTTTTTTTTTTTTTTTTTTTTTTTTTTCTCTCTCCCGGTCGCTGAAACAGAAAGGGGAAAAAAAAAAAACACCGAGAGGCTGGGCTCAGCCCTTCATTCCGCGGCAGAGCCAGCGGCGGCGGCGGCAGCTGCAGCTCCAGCGGGGAGGGGGCGGCGGAGGCGGCGGCGGAGCGGCCAGGGCACCCCGGGCACCCCGGGCACCCCGGTCCCGCTGCCGGCACGGCCCCGCGGGCTCTGCGGGCGTGGATGGCTGCGGGGCTCGGCTGCCTTCCCCCGCCGCGGCCCGGCTGCTGAGCAGCACGCAGGGGCAGCACCTCCCGCAGCAGCCCGGCGGCACCCAGGTGAGCGCTGCCCCGCCGGGGCCGGGGGGGTGGAGGCGGCTGCGGCTTCGCCCCGGCTCTCCGGGGGCTGCTGCCGGCAGCTCGGGTGCCGGGCGAGGAAATTGTGCCCTCTGTTGATTGGCACGGCACGGGCATTTCGGGCGGGGGGCAGAGGGCAGGGGACAAAATAGGCTGACCCCAGGCAGCCCTAGGGGGATAAACAGGGAAGTCAGAGCAGCCCGCAGCGTTTTGTGTTCCTGCGGGCTCGGGAGCTGCCTGTGGGAGGTCAGAGCGGCACCGCTGGGGCTGCACGGGCTGCGCTCTGTACGGCCGGGTTATGGGGTGCTGGTCGCTTTTGTTTCAGCACCGCTTTCTCAAATCGGGGTCCCTCGGCTCTTGCCTGGGTTGCTGTGTGTGGCTGTGGATGGCCCAGGCAGTATTTTCCGTGTGCGGGGGGGGGAAGCGGAGCTGCAGCGCAGGGCACCGAGCCACAGTGTTCCGGTGAACGCTGCTGTAAGCGCCGTACTTTTTGTTGCTTAAAGCTGGAAATAACCATTCAGGGGCCATCTCAGTTGTGCTTAATCATCTGCGAAGTCTTTATTTGGCTTTAAAAAAAAAAATCAACCTATTGACTTAATGACTCTACTTACGTAACGAAGGGATTCGATGTCCTGCTCGCCTCTGAGCACGGCAGAGCGGTGTTTATGAAGAAAATTAATATGTGGCTGCTTATATATTTCTTAAATCATCCGTACGTGTAACTGAAGGATTATGTGAGTGGTATGTATAAAACCTGGGGTGTGGGAGGGATGAGAAAACATGTTGTTTCTATTTTCAGCTCGTATATTCTTAGGGAAAACGTTTATAATGTACCATTTTTATTAGGGAAAGGAAAGCGTCCCCACGTGTTGTGGGCTGACAGCTCTGAGCACTGTTCCTGGTGCGCTGCCACCAGCAGAGGAAATAATACGGCGTGAATGACACTGCCCTGCTTGGGCAGAGCGGGCTGTGCTGCCGTCGCCGTGTCTCGTCTATCACCTGCCTCTATTTCGGGTTTGACAGGGTGTCCACCGGCGGCGGCGGCCAGCTGGCTCTTGGCCAGGCTGCAGGAGGCAGGCGGCTCTTGGCAGCAGGAGCTGGAGGTCCCTCACCCTGAGAGCTCATCCCAGCCTCTGGAAGGGCGGCTGGAGCTGGAGCTGGATGCTGTCGCTTATTAGAAACTTTGCTTTGTTTGTAGACAGAGAAGTAATCCACCTGGACAGCGTGGAGAGTCTCTCCCTGTAAAAATAACTGTTCATAGCGGTAGCTGCTGTAGGGCACGGGAGCCTGGGGAGATGTGTGAATGTGGTCCCCGTGTTTGGCTGTAGCTAGCCGCAACGTTAGGGTGCTCTGAATAAGTATTTCGGGCTGTAGATAGTTTGAGGTTATGGGGTTTTTTTTTTGGTTCTTCCTGCTGTAACCCATGAGGCCGGAGATACTGAAGAAAGGGATGCAGGGCAGTAAACATTACTTGTCCCACTGTGGAAAAATGCTGGGGTTTTTGAGCCAAGTGGAAATGCTTTTTCAGCTCTGTTGACTTACCGGTGAGTAATACTGGCACTGCTCTTTGCACCCCCACACGCTGCACTAGCACCTCTGTGCAGCAGCTGCACTGCTCACAAAACATAAGGAGCCTCAAGAAGAGTAACATAAGTCTGTCCTTGAGTACTTGCCCTGCTCCTAATACCTTATTTACCATCTTCAGCCTCTGTAAGTATGGGACGGATACTAGCACGTGTGTAATTAATTATTCAGGTTCTTTGTACTATCCCAGGCATCACTTCTCAGAATGCACGGGCTGCAGAAAGCTGAAATGGTCATTACCTGCTGTTTTTGGCATGTCATCAAAACAAGAGCTTGGAACGTGCTGAAAGTTCAGCGGGTTCATATGGCATTACTGTGCAGTTATCAATTAGTCAAGTTTCCAAGATAATTTTCCCTTCCCTTGATCTTGCCTTTTTTTATCCTTGCTTTCATTTAAATGCCTTTTTTTTGAACAGTGATGTAATTTCCTTCATTATCAATAAATTCTCCTCGATATTTCAGTAAATGATCACAGTAAATGAGTGAAATAAGCTGTTCAGTGGCTATATCTGAGTAATGTGGACAGAATGATGGGTGTGAACTTTGAAAATGATCAGCTCTGTAAGCTTCAGTGGACTGCGTCCATTCTGTGTACTTTTTGGGCAAAGCAGCAACCAGAATCCCGCGCCTGGAAGTTCATTCTCAGTCTCTGCAGAAGTGATAGCACTGCAGTGCAAGGATGCTAACACATCAATAAGAAAATCCTTTTCTTTTTTGTTTCAGATTTCGTGTGGGAACATGGCTGGCCAACATGTCCTTCCTCAGGCTTTGTATCAGAGCAATATGCTGAAAGCTGTGAAGATCAGAGAGAGAACACCTGAAGATCTGGTCAAACCCCCCAATGGAATAATTCACCATTTCAGGACTATGCACAGATACACCATAGAAATGTTCAGAATGTGCCAGTTTTGCCCTCAGTTTCGGGAAATGCTTCAGAAGGCGCTGACTGACCAGGCCACCCAGACTTCACTGGAGCGCCAGAGGAAGCTGAACTGGTGCATGGAAGTCAGGAAACTTGTGCCTTTGAAGACTAATGGTAAGTTGTGAGCAGGTCTTTGCGCTCGTGTTGAAATGCCAGTTGTGACTGGAAGGCAAGGTCTGGTGATGACCCAGCTGTAATATCGGTGCCCGTGGGAGCATGCTGACCTTGCTGGTGGTGGGCTTGGCTGCCCGGTGGGCTCTGCGAGCTCTTGCCTTCCCTCAGGGCGAGGAAGTGTGCAATGCCCTTTAATTTAAGGGTCACTGCTGGTGACCCTTAAACTTCACGTTAGCATTACTTTATGTGTATTGTGTCAGGCGCTGTAAATGAAGTAGCACTAGTGCAGTGATTTCTTAGCGGGGTGCAAGAGCCCGTGTTGTCAAGCAGGAAAACTTTGCACATGACGGTGAGAACTGCTGGGCATTTCACGTTCGGTGCAGGAAAGATTTGGTAATGGCTATGACTTATGGTCAT